AGTTATTTCCTTTGTTCTGGATAATTTACAACATATGTTTTTGTGAATCTGCCTAGGGCATCAAGCCTGATGTGGTTAGGTTAACATTAGTGCCAGAGTCTTTTGCTCATGACTTCATGCAGCAGTTGAGCTTTCCTAAAGTTCTAAACCCACATTATGTCTGTGGTGCTTCTTTGCATTATAGCTCCTTTTAACATTTTTACATGACAGAAAGTCAGATGTTGAAGGAAGCCTTTAGAGGAATTTAGGATATCAGCTCAATTTGTCTGAGATAAACAGGAGGAGTTTGGATGTGTTAAGCAGTTTTGCCAAGAGGAGATTTGTCCATAACAATTATAACTTTTTGGTTGACTAGATCTGTGACATCTTCATTTACATTTTCCAAAGATGGACTTCATTTTCCCCCTGGAACCAAACCTTAGTTACTAGTAATGCATTGTGTAAAATAGTTAAGCCCACTGTGGTCCAAACAAATGTAATTTTGAAAGAGTTGTTTTTTAAAATAACATATTTCTGTTTGATTATTAAAATGCTGATTTTAAAATGACTTTTTCACGTTTCTATTAAACATGGTTTAGTTGTTGCATTAACTGCTTTGCTGCTGATGCTGAATGTGTGTAAATTCTGGCAGCCTTTTTTAACCAAATACCACTTAAAATGAATGGAATAGTACCGGTTACGTCCCACCTTAAGACTGTTGGAAATACATAACATGCCTTTCAGCAATGGTGGTAACAGGAAAGAAATATCTCTTTAGTACTAAATCTTTAAGATCTATAGTTGTCTGAGTTTCTATATACAGCAAATGGCGTGCTTTAAACGTTCAGGTTTTCCTCTGTGTTCATTTTTGCAGTAACAAAGTATAGAGATTAAAAGAATAGATCAAATCCCTAAAATGTGCTGTGGAGAATGTTTTTTACAGCTAGATTGATAAAAAAAGTAACTCTGTTAAAACCTTGGGTAAAAGTTTATATTTCTTGCAGCGGCCTCTGCATGTGAAATGTAGTTGGCAAGTATTTTTATGTGTGCCTGTTAGTTTCAATGCGCGATGCTGATCTGTTTTTTGTCCTCCCTGACGGTTATTATATCCTAATGGGTGCAACACTGCACTAATGATCCTTGTGTATATAAATTCTTCTTGTTGTGTGCAGACACCATAGGGCCACATAAAAATGTTTGCCTCAATTTCCCTGCAAAAAAGGAGCTCAGAAACCAGACTTGGCCAAGTAACAGATTTTTAAAGGTAGAGGAACCCAATAAAATTACCAGCTTTTCACAGCATGAGTCTACTTCCTTTTGACATATTGTGAGGTGTAGGTGAAATATTCTAACTGAACTGACAGTGTAAGGAGGACAGCTAACTAAAAAGCAAGATAAAAGTAAAAACCACCAATGATGATTGATATTGCAGTAGCTATTAATTGTTTTGGAACCTCTTTTGTAGATTTCTGACACTTCTCCTTTATAACTTACTCCTGTGCAAGTCTTGGTGTAATGGGATTTAATGTAGTAAAGTACCACAGTCAAATGTACTGTATCAGGGAGTTATTTTTAATACTGTAGTTTCTTGAGACACGTGAGTCACAAAATGTTTTTTAAGAGGATTAAGGAGCTTTAGCTTTAATCTAGCTCTAGAAAAAAAAAAAGTAAAAATAATCACAGAATGCTTCTTCCATATAGTTCAATGAATGTTGTTAAAATGGCACTAATTCAAATGAGGTTATGCAGCATATTATGAATTTAGTGCACACACTTTAAATATAGTATATAACAGCTCAGGATTCAGATAACGTGCAACTGTGAACTTGGGGATCACTGCCATCACTCCAGAATTTGAGAGGCGGGGGGGCGGGGAGAGTAAGAAACCAAGCAAATTGTTATGATTGTACATTTTCCCATTTTTGTATAGTACTTCCAACATGAAGGATGCTAACTTTGTTGACAGTGGGTGAAGAAAATACATTGGGATAGATTATTAAAGTTATTTAGGCACCTAGAGATGCATATAGGTGACTAGAGGCATTTTCAAAAGCACATGGTTGCCCAACTGCCACTTTTGAAAATCCCACAAGACATCTACATGATTCTTTAGGTGCCTGAATACATTTAAAAATCTGGCCCATAGGCCCCAATTTAGTTGCTAGCATGTGAGCTCAGCTGTCTGCCTGTGCCTTAGCAATAACTGTAGGATTGGAGTCCTACTAAGTCAGAAAGCAGTATCTCTGTGCTGTTTAATACAAGTAATCAGTTGTTCAAAGGATAAAATAACTCATGTTTGTCTTCCTTTGTATTTAAGCTTATTATCGATTATTATTGATTCAGTTTAAAGTCAGTTTAGATATTAGAATATATTTGAATATTTTAATTTCCCCCCTTAAACTTTTAAGGCTCAACGATTGGTTTGATCCTGTCAATTTATTTTAATGTAACTGGTTATTGTACTCTTCTTTATTTAACAATAGTTATATCTGGATATTTAGCATAAAAATGAAAAAATGTCCATAATGTTGGAGCCTTTTCTGTCCAATAAATCATCCTCCATTTGGAGATATAAGCACTAACATAATAACAATCCTGATTTTTGTGTTATCATTCTTGTACTTTTTGTAATTGAAAATATCAATTATAATTATATTTCTGTACATTTAAGATCTTTGTTATTCGTTACTTCTTTTATTATCCATAGAGCTAGTAAAAATTATCATACATTCATCAACTGAAAACTGATGATTGCTTCATTGCAAGTCCATTTACCAGTTTGAACTAAACAACTATACATACTGTAGAAGCTGATGGAAAGACATACTGGTGAAATCTAAAATAAAAATAATAAAAATCTTCCCTTTTTAAATGCATTTTTCAATAGCCCAAGATAGGATGGGAGAGAAATGAAACTGAGAGGGGAAAATTTAAGCTAAAAAATCAGAAAAATGTCTTGATAATGAGATGTATTAGGCTGTGGAAATGGACTTTCAAGAGAAGTCCCAGTCCCTTGGGACCTTTTGAAATTGGTTTGGATACTACATTAGAGAATGTCTTATGTAAAACAAGCTTCAGTTGGCAGATAGATGATCTAATAGATTTCAGCTCTAACTATGTTTATTTGAATATAAAATAATTAGCTTAGCTGTTTAGCTCTTTTGTATTTGTCTAAACTTTTTAGTTCTAAAAATGTGACAAATATAGAAGTAAATCTTCCTTTTTTTCATTTGTAATATCTTTCTCCCTGCCACTTTCCTGCCCCTCTAGCCAAGGTGTAATGTCAACAACAGATGGAATCATAATTGACAGACAAAATTTTAAAGCATTCTAAATGTCACTGATCGTTTTAATAAAATTAATTAGCCTGCCACAGAGAAAATTTACTAGCCTGCTGGTTAATTTCACAATGTAAAATCGTGGGGTAGGACGGAGTGCAGGAGAAACCTTATTACTTTTGAATAATTATTTAAAGATGTGTGCCTTGTCTAATTCAAACATCATCAATGGCGAATGCAGCAACAGCTTTTTATATCTTTTAAAATTGCAAGTGGTCACATCTCAACATATAAGTGAGGAAATCAAATACAGCTGAAATTTTAAGGTATCGATCGGGTACCAACTAATGATAATTCACTGGTCACATAGAAAACTACTGAAGCCTTAGTTTTGATGGTGATGTTATTAATATTCCTATTACTATTTAATGTAAGTAGATAATTTAGATTCCAGATACAAAGCGGCTTGAAATTATATGCCTAAATGAATGTAATGTTCCAAATCTTGATAAAAACACATTTTGTTTTCAGAAGAAATGAAAGATCTTTAGTCATTTTGTGACATTACATAAAATATCTTATTGGCAGTGAATATTCACTTCACAGTGCACCTGATACCTGCAGTCTGATTTAGTTTTGAAAAACATGACTAATGTAGTGCCTAAATTAAATTGCAGTGAGACATGCAGATGATAGAATTAAATAATGCCATGTAATTCAGATCTGCAGTAGGAACCAGCTTAGCCTTTTTCATTTTTTTTTTTTAAATTCCAGTGGGCAAAGGAAGTGAACAGTAATCTGCTGAATAGAGAAGTTCATATATCGCTATTAGAGCTGGTTAGAACTTTCCCCACAGAACTGATTTAACGAAATCAAAACATTCTGCAGGAACATGTCAGTTCTGACAACGTTTAAGAGAAACCTGCCTGGCTTCCTGCCAGCTCACCTGCTGCACAGCTCCTCAAGCTTCCCAGCCTGTCAGCAGCCCACCTAGCAGGCTGCTGGGGATCCAGCGATTCCAGGCTCCATGGCTCCGTGCCAGCCTAGGCTACCAGGGCTTCCAGCCTCTTGACTCCTTGACATCCTGGCTGTTAAGAAGCCAGAGAATTCAGGTTCCCCAGCTGGCCAGCTCTTTGGAGTGCCAGGCAGCCAACTGGCCACTTCCTTGGCTCCTTGCTGTCTAGCTCCCCAAGCAACCCAGGATGCTGGGTGGCCAGCTGGTCAGCTCCTTGGGTTCTTAGGGTCCCAAGCAGCCTGTCCCAAATTGGGAAAAAGTCAAAAAATTAATTTTCCAAGTGAGCTAAATTTTTAAAAAGTCCATTTCTGGAGAACAGTGATGAATTTTTTCAGCTTGCTCCCGGAGCGGCTCCCATCCCAGGCTAGCGTCCCAGGCTGCCCGACTCCATGGGCAGACAGTTCCCCGACTGCCTAGGTGCCCCAACTCTATGGCCAACCTAGAGAGCCACCCGCACTGGGAGTCAGGCAGCCCCAGGAGCAAGCTAAAAAAATTCATTACAGTTTTCTGAAACTTAATGTTGTGAAAATTCAACTCCTGTGACATATTTAGAATTTATGATTTTCTCCCAATTTAGGACAAAAGAATTTCAAAAACTTCAAAAAAGTTTGCGTGAGTTCAATTCTGTTTTCTGTCCAGTTGTGATCTATAAGATATGCTACCTAGAAAACAGAGGTTAACCCAATATGTTTTTTTCAGTATGTAATTTCTTATTTTATCCTTTTCAGCTACACTAAATGTGGATGACTCCATAGTAGACCTGGAAACACTGGAAGCACTGTATGAGAATGTAAGTATGAGGAAAACATCATGTGAAACAGCACAATGTTCATAGTTTCAGATTTTTACCAAGTGCAAACACACTCAAAGAATAAATACTGTTTTATTTTGTGACCATATTACACAAAAGAGAGTATATAAAAATGATTTTTCTTAGGGAATGTAAGAGTATTAGTGGATATCTTCAAAATGTAGTTAGCCAACACAATGCATGTATTTTGCCAGATCAAGTCTCCTGTGGGGAATATACTGTATATACTCGTTCATAAGCCAAACTTTTTTAGTAAAAAAGGGAAGCACCAGAGAAGGGTGTCGGCTTATGAACGGGTATAGAGAGGGAGAGGTGGGACACAGCCCCTCCCCCAACAGAGGGAACAAGGAGAGGCAGCACAGCTAGCAGAGCCAGAAGGGAAGAGGCGGGGCCAGAGTCTCTCCGCTTCTGGCCATGCTGCTCTCTCCCCAGCCTCCGAAGCAGCTGCAGCTCCGGGGCTGGCAGGCTGCAGCCGTGCCGCTTGGTCCCACCCCCCAGAGCAGGCTGTGGCCATGCGCTGCCCAGCCTGCCGGACCAGCTCCAGCCAGGCCAGAGACATCCTCCCCTGGCCCTCCGCAGATAAGGTGGGAAGGGATGGGATGGGGAGAGTGTGGGGGTCCCAGGCTAGGGGTGGGGTCATATGGGGGAGTGGTCACAGGGGTTACTCCCCTGAACCCCAGCTTCTCCCCCCCAAAAAAATTTCCCCACCAGTCGCTGTCCCGTCCGTCAGGGTAAGCAGCTGGCGCGCCGGGACACTTTGTTTACTTAGGTTTACCTCCGTGCCTGCAGACACTCGAGGTAAACAAACCATCTCGGCCCACCAGTGGCTCATCCTGGTGGCCTGGGAACCAAAGTTTGCTGACCCCTGAATAGGGTCGGCTTATGAACGGGTCATAACATTTTTTCCATTTTTACTTATCCATTTTGGGGGGGGATCGGCTTATAAACGAACCGTCTTATGATCGAGTATATACAGTAAACATATCCAAAACAATTGGAGCTGGATTAAGATTAAACAAATTGCAACAAAAAACGTTGCATGACCTGTCGTCTTCTCCCCCCAAAAATATTGGCCTCCCACCACAGAGAGCCTGCTCCTCACTGTCTATATCTTCTCCCAGTCTATCCCACTTCTCCAGGTCTATATCGTACCTTGGGCAGACTTTTCCTTCCTCCTGCCCCCAGTTCACTTTTCTTTAGGTCATAGCCTGGGAGGGTGTCCCCTTTCCAGATCTTCACCCCCTCAAACGTTAAGACTACTTTTAAGGCATACTATGTGATTTGCTTTGTCTTGCCTTCCCCAGCCAACTATTCTACAACACAATACAGTGTGCAATAGCTTGTGTTTTTTCTTTCTATTTGGTAACCAGGAAGCTCTAGAGGGAGTTGAGTTATGAGGCAGAGTAACTGGCAGAGGAAGGGGAAGCAAAGCATCTACAGGACCCTGCAAGGAGATATCTTTGACCTTGAAGTGTTTAAGCTCTGGGAAGGAATATTCCCAAACTCACTGTGGGGAAGGGATTTTCTCCAATCCCTTTTTCTACTCTTTAAAATGGGAAGGGAAATTTGAAAACATATGTTTAGGGGCTGATTTTGAAAACTGGAGCATAGGACGATTTGAAGGCCTTCTGTAATGTAAGATTTAGATCTTGGTGCACAGAGGTATTAATCTGCTATGCAATAGAATAAATTTGATTTTGTATTGTGACCTTCATAAACAGTATCACAAAATGCTTCATGGAATTAAATAATACAGGTGCAATATTCAACTACAAAATGAAAATAGAGAAATAGTTCTGTGAATGTGATGATGGGTTTATAGCAACTTTCTGTATTTATATCCTGCTGGCTCTGTCATGAGAGCACTTGCCCCTAAGGTGAGGGAAACAGCACTATAGGTGCAAACCCTGGCTAGGCTGTAGTTAGAGGGGAAAATACTCAGAAAAGTTCTTCAGTTAGATCCAGCCAAGATAAATATAATGACAAAACAGAGAAAATAAGTCTTGAATCACATAGGTGAGTAACATTAAAAGATATCAAGTGTTCTTCATAATTCAATTCTGTCTCCTGATCTGTATACTAAGTATCATTCCTGGGGGACGTTGGAAAAATAGACTGTATAATGGTGACCATTTAAGAATGTTCTCATTTTAGCAGAGCCACAAAGTTCAGCTGCAGACCTCAATCTCCCCTGAGTTTGGGACTGTTCGAGTCTAGAGTAGTGGTTTGGGCCTACCTCTCATTTTTTTAATAATAATTTTTCATGTTCCTGTATAGTGTCTTACAAGGGACACATAGGCAACTCAGAATTGTGTTATAAAGAAAATGAAATACAAATTATACTCTGTTGAATTGTACTCTATTGAATGTAAGCAGAAAGAAAAAATGTTTATCAACATCCCTTAGAGAGAGAAGGGGAATGCCCTATAGAAATAGTACAGAGTACCCTGTTCATCTTTAATATTACCCCACTTCTGCATGACAAAAACTTGTGTACATGTGGGAATGTGGAAAAGCAGTGACTTTTGGTAAGGAAGCCTGAACAAATTTAATTATATTGAATCAAGTCCTTACCAAATTTGGGGGGGGGGGAAAGCATTACTGGTAGAATAGGGGAGATTTACGCTAAAATGGATTACCAGAAACATGTTTTTAAAAAGCCAACTTAAGTAAAGCAGATGAAGGATTTGTTGAATAAGGCATGTTCTCAACTTTATCAAGAAACTTTATCAGACAAAAGAACCTGCATAATTGTTAAGTTATTACTGATATCAGGATGAGAATATATTTTACCAGTCACATTTTTATATCTTTGACCTTGAGCAAAAGACAATGGTATGAGTTTAGCATATAGATCCACTTTCAGTCACACTAGTATATATAGAATACATGAAGTGAGGCTCTGTGCATTTTTAGGAGCATGTGTGATTTGGGGAAAGTAAGTAAAAAGAGAATGGGCGGAGTTTTTAAAGATCAGCAAATAAGAAGATGGGTTGATTGTATTTAAAAGGAAAGCTTCTCATTGCTAGTTTCTAATTACAATCACACAGAGAGCGCAAAAGGATGAACTGGAGAAAATAAAGCAGTATTATGAGACTTCAAAGGAAGAGGAACTGAAGCTCTTGGACAAACCAGAACAGTAAGATTTTTTTAAAATATTTTCCCATTATGCAGAATGGCCGTTGGCTAGGAGATTGAGGGAGTGTAGGGACAGAATTCTGGCTGGATAACAGTTTTTAAAAATCCATATTTCAAGGGATGGTGTGAAAACTGATTACATTGTCCCTTTTTTTGATGTAGTGCATATAATGTTGCATTGACTGGGACCACTACAACAGATGAAATATACTGATTTTGCTACATGACCTTGAGCCAGTCACAATTTCTGTGCCTGCATGCTCTCATTTTTAAAATGCTTATCTTCCTCTCCTAGGCATCGAGCCTGAATTAATATTTGTAAAGCAGTGACGTGCTTGGATGGAAAGGTGCCATAGAAGTTGCTGTTATAATAAAACCTAAAAGCAAAACTCAAATCGTGCGAATTCCCAAATGGAATTATAATCCTATAATTCAGAATGAACCTATCTTTTATTAAAACAATGTATTTGATCCCAAATTTATGTCTAGCACTAATTTCTGCTCCCTCCCTGCTGCTCCTTCCTCCTGACTGCTCTCCTCCCCGTCCACTGGCCTCCATCACACTCTCCTTACCACCTGTGTTCCCACACTGAGGCCCCCTCAACTGCCTTGCTCTTTTCTACTCTTAACTATGCTGCTGCTTAGTCATCTTTGGTATAAGAGAGAGTGGGAGGAAACGTGTGGATGATGAAGGAGGAGTGTAGGCAGCAGAGATGGCATCTGAGCATGAGAGCTGGGACAACAGAAGGGATATCTTTTTATGCAGTTTCTTTAAGGCTGGAGGTTGGTGTTGGAGGGCAAAAAGATTTTTCTCCTTTCCCACCCTCAGAGCAAGCCAAGCAACTGTTGCTGACATCTACATATTGGGGAATTGGTTAATGTCTGAGGATATGAATATCTCCCAAATATTAAAACCTCAGAATATGAATCTCCTTCAAAATTATATACAATATTGTTCATCCATCCCTTGTCTTTGGGTTTTCATTGAACACACTCAGGTGAGCCTTGGTCTACAGCATGATACATTGTGACTATTTGATATTTCCCAGAGTTTAAATCTTTGGCAACCTATTTGCTATATCTCTGAGTGAAACAAATATAAGCACATTTTATGTCCTGGAAAATATGAATCACGCTTAGTGTTCTGGAATTATAAGAGGCCATGCCAAATTTTGTACATCCTGGTGGGGAGAGGTTGGTCCGCATTAGTCACCTTGTCAGTTTCATGCTATCATTGTTCTGTAGTTAAAAATAAGGCATTTTAAAGAAACCAATTATTGTTGTAATTCCAAATAAAACGATAGTCTCCTTTTTCACCATCTAGTCTTTACCAAAACAGTTCTTATAATCCTTACCTAATTATCCCATCATTTCCCCTATTATTGAGAGATGTTGATTAAGGAGACTTTTCTTTTTTAAATGTTGCTTTAAAATGAAATAATGAACCAGTGGTCAAGCATCAGGGCCTGCAGCTGAGCCTGGGACCAGTTATTTGACCTCAGCTGAACATATCGATAGACCAAACCTATCAGGCCTGCTCTGAAGCCAAGGAACAGCAGCCCTGGCTGCTGCTCAATGCTTTGCTCGCAGCTGCATCTGCTCCTGTGCATGCCTTGTTCGCAGCCTTGCTCCTGCCCTGCTCCAATCTGTTCCAGAGCTACTCTCCTGCTTGTTTCTTGACTCTGGCTCTGAGTCCAGCTCTGACCCCTAGGCTTGATCACCCACTGCTGCAACCACCCACATCCCAGTCCATGACAGTTTGAGCAGCATCCTCCTGAAAGACGGGACAGCTTCTGCTAGAAGAATGGATGCTGCTAAGCCCAATGTCTCCCTGTCAGAGATAGTGAGTATCTTGCAGAACCTGCAGACTCAGGTTGCTGCCCTGCAGGCCTGGAGTGTGGCCCACAGTTCCAACTCCAGCCACTCGAGAACCAAAAATTTCCCTGCTGGATGAGTTAGCTGGCGACTGCAGTAAGTTCCTCAAGTTTCTGAATTCTGCTGGCCCTATTTCTGTTGTGCCCTCAGTCATTCCCCCCATCCACTCCTGAGTAGAACTTATCATCAGCCTGCTGACTGGGGAGGCGTTGGCCTGGGCCTCTCCATTGCTGGAGAATACTAGTCCTCTCCTGAGCCAGTTGAGAATTTTTGTTCAAGCCATTATGATGATTTTCAATTACCTCAGTCACATGTGTATAAAAGAGGCTGCTCTCCAGGCATTGCTGCAAGGGCATTGTCCAGTTGCTAGTTATGCCTTGGAGTTTCGACACCTGGTAGCAGCCACCAAATGGAATGAGGTCATGCAGCACTAGCACTGAGCAGGAAGTTCAGCTTAAATGATGAGGTCAAAGACGAGCTGGTGCAGATGGAGCCTCTGACAGGTCCAGATCCCCTAACTGAACCGTGCATAAAAATATATATATAATATATAATAAAAAAAATAAACTAACAACTGCCTGATGGAACGCCACCAAGTAAGAAGGTTAGCTTCCTGACCCTACCAGTTACTCTGACAGCCAACCAACCTTCTGCTCCTTCCTCACAGCCTATGTCTATACAGGTTGACCACGCCAGGCCCTGCTTCTCTAACACAAAGAAAAACAGGCCTCAGGCCTGTGCCTATACTGTGGGGAACTGGGACACTTAGCATTGATTTGCCCTGCAGAGGCCCAGTCTGCATCCCAGTCAGGAAGCACCGAGTTCCAGTAGGGGGTTGGCATTCGCCCCCTTGCTCTGATACCCTGCACCAAGATTTATCTGCTGGTACTCTGTCTCCTCAGGTAATTTAATGGACTTGAATTTGCTTGAGAGCATAATGTCATCACCAAGTGCAAAATTTCCCTGACTTAATAGTGTCCATTGCTGGACCACTCCTCTCTTCAGGCCCTCACTCACCTATCTGCCCCTTAGACCCCTTCAGGGTCATCAAGAAATCCTTCAGTTCGGGTTGATCCATATGCCACATTCTCCTGTTCTCCTCTGTATTCCCTGGTTCATTGCCCATGATCCATGTATCTGCTTGCAGACTGACATGGTGCATTTTAGTTCACTATACTGCTGGGATCTTGCCTCCCAAAATCCAACCACAGACATAAATGTTCTGCTTCTCTGCCCATCTCCCAGGAGATTTCAAAACAAGTGGGTTAGTCCAAAAGGATCCTTTGCAACAATTATGGTCTCCCCAACAGTCCTGGTACCTGTGATACCTGTCAAATATCAAGACTTCACTAACATATTTGACAAAAAGAAAGCTGACATCTTGCTACCTCACTGTATATATGACTGCCCTGTTGACCTCCAACCTGGAGCAGCAATCCCTTTTGGGTATCTATTCCCTCTCAGAAAATGAGTTATCGGCTTTTTGAAGCTATCTCCAAGAAAACCTGCAAAGTGGGTTCATCCATCTCTCCAAGTCCTCAACCAGGGCTTTTCTTTTCTTTGTGAGTAAGAAGGATGGCTTCCTGTGGCCTTGTGTGGATTAACAGCCATTAAACAGTGTTGCAATCCAGAACCAGTACCCCTTACCAATGAACTCTTTGAGAGACTCTGCTCCACCAAGGTCTTCACCAAGTTGGACCTTTGTGGAGCTTGTAACCCAGCTCGGATTAGAGATAGAGATGAATGGAAGACAGCCTTCACACTCGGTATGGACACTTCAGTACTTCGTTATGCTCTTCAGCTTGTACAACACTCTGGTGACTTTACAGTGCTTCATTCATGATCTCTTAAGGGACATGCTGGATCCATTTGTGGTTATCTACCTCAATGATATCCTCATTTTTACTGAGCATCTGATCAACATGTATGCTGAATCTTAGAAAGATTCTGCTGAAACCACTTATAGGTGATGCTCAAGAAGTGTGAATTTGACCAGGACATGACTGAATTCCTGGGGCATATTGTTTTCCTCAAGGGACTAACTATGGACCCATGCAAGGTGGCATCCATGTCATGGTTGATTTCCTAACTAAGATGGTGCACTTTGTTCTGTGCCATGCCTTCAGAAACAACATGTCTCTTCCTAGAGAATGTCTTCCATTACCATGGATCACCAACTGGCCTCATGTCGGATCAGAGCTCCTGTTCATCTCCCCTTTTTGGTGGGTATTTCTAAGATTTCTTGGCATAAGTCCCTTTTCTGCTTATCACCTGCAAATCAATGGGTGACCAGAACATATCAGCCAGATTCTAGAATGGTATCTTCACTGTTTTTTGAATTACTAATTTTCCTTGTGGAATTTGCCTACAATAATGCAACCCACGCAAAGTCCATTCTTGTTTTCATCCAGACATACCCACGAGTTCCCAGGTACATACCACCATGGACTTGGCTACACACTTGCTCGAAGTGCACCGAGAACTCAAGAAAAATTTAAGATCTGATAAAGAAGCTTATAGCACCATGCTAGCCAGGGCCACCAGACTGCCCCAACCCTGTTGTAGGGACAGAGTTTGGTTATCGACCTAGAATCTTAAAGCCCATCAGCCAAACTGGATTACCAGTACCTGGGCCATTTCGTTGGAACAGGTCAATCCAATAACATGCAGTCTGCAGCTACCCGAGTCCCTAAAGATCCATCCTGTATTTCATATCTTCCTTCTATAGCCTTAAACTGAGAATCCCTTCCTGAACCACTCCAACCCACTTCCACCATCCATAACCATTTGAGGGCAGGAGGAAATATTTGATCTGATGAATTCTTTCCTCCTAGTGAGTTGGGGGAAACTCCAGTACCTGGTGGACTGGGAAGGCTACAGTCCAGACGACCAGTCCAGGGAAATTGTGGAGAACATCTGTGCTGAGCATGGGACCAGCTAGTTAACCTAAGCTGAAAGCCTTCATTGACTGGACACCCTGATTGGCTGAGAGGTGTCACCAGGCCTTCTCTTTAGCCCAGCAGCTGTACCAGGCCAGAACCTGCTCCCTAAAATTCAAAGGTATCTTGATAAATTGGAGAAGTGGGCTACAGACACAAAATGAAAGACAAAATGATAGACAAATGTAAGTGCTACATTTGGAGGAGAAAAACCAAATTCACAAATACAGAATGAGGGAAAACTAGCTTGGCTGCAGCACTGCTGAGAAGGATCTAGGACTTGAGGTTGATCACAACCGCAACATGAGTCAGCAATGGGATGCTGTTGAAAAAAAAAAAGTAAATGCAGTTTTTGGTTGCATTAACAGCCTTGTTCCCAGCTGTACTTGGTTCCTGACTCCGGCTCTGGTCTTTGGTGCTGTTTCTGGCCTCCGATTGCCGCTCCAACTAGTCCTGACCACCCTCTGCTTTGACCACTAGGCCTGACTGCCCACACCATTGTCCATAACACCAGTGATGCTCTTACATCAGTTTTATAAGCCATTCAAAATACTCCACTTTCTGGAAACTCAATAAATCAATTGTGCTGTTATGACTATCCACTCAGTCTCAATAAATGCGGACCAGGGGCTTTTGTTGGAACTACATTAAGCATATTCATCCCACAAAAGATTAAGCCCACAAGAGTTCCAACCTTGTATGTGCAGATTAAATTAGTTACTGTGGGACATAAACCTGACTGCATTTTCATTGGTAAGGCTCAAAGCACAGTTAAAAATGAAATGCCATATTTGTAAAATGGTTACAAATGGTAGGTAACATTATGGATTAAAGTACTGTAAGTGTTGGGCTGAATTCAGTGCAGTCTAAAAGAGGCTTTTGCTAATTTTAAATGTTTTGAAATTCCAGAGAAACAGAAAGCTTTCCTGATATCAATAATGGTCTCCTGCACATGTGATTTTCATTTGTTTTGCTGGCATGTTATATTTGCTATTGCTGACGTACACTGTAAATATATCTTAGCAGTATTGCAGTGTGCCCCTAAATTATGTTTCTTGATAATAAAATTGTTAAAATGCTAATATTCATTAGAGTTGAAAAGATTTATATGTGTAATTGACCACAACATGGGGCCTTGTCTGAGGGACACAGATGCTCTAGCTTCTTTCCAAGTATTGCATTTTGGCTGAAATGTAATCTTCCTGTAGTTCTAGCTAGTACTAAATCATTGCTAGACAGGGAAATGGGAGCAAAATGCAATTTGGGGCTTTATTGCTGACCATGTTATTGACCACAGTAAGTAGAGAACGATCATTTGTTTGAAGGTAAAATATTTGCTTCCCCCCAAATTATGACACTGAGTCCTCGTTCTCCCCTCTCTTACACGGATGTCTCCATTGACATCAGTGGTGGTCCTTTTGACTTTTACTGGCATGAGAAGAGACAAAATGATAGACAATTTTGTTTCAAATTATTCACTAAACTTGATGTTTTTAGAATGTGAATAAATATAAACTGGTAAATTATTTCTTGATAAAAATGATTATTTCGTTGTCTTTCAATTCAATGGATGCTATGATTTATATATAGTTACAGTATGATGGGCTTTGGCCCTGATTCAGAATTACACTAAGGCCCTTTCTACAGCACTCTGTCAGGGTAAAGGAGCCATCACGTGGGTATACATTTTATACAAGCTTTCTTTAAGGTATCTTTTCACTGCCAGGGTAGAGTACATGATATTAAAACCCTCTGTGCTTACTGTAGATCATCAGTAGAATGTTGTACTAAGGGCCATCAAAAAGTTACATTAGGTCAATGGGGCACTCCATCATATCTTGAAGTTAGCCAGACGCTTACCTTTCTTAACCCCAAGCTACAATTAATGAGTGAACCCAGCATTCTGTCCTCTTCAAAACTTTATCCAGTACCCTCTTGCATTAATTTACACTTCTTTCTTTGGTTTTTGACTTTGATAGATAATCCAACCTGCATTTTATACAAAAGCAGTCTGCCTGAATTGTTGTGATGTCATCATTAAAAAAAACTCTATTTACCAAATGATACTGTAAAGTTATCATATTCATTTCATATTCAACATCATGGGAAAACTGTGATATCCAAGATAACCCTAAGTGGAAACTGTTGGTAAAGATGAGCCTTAATTACAATATAGGGTGGATCATTCCACAGATTCAGACTATAGATTTTTGTTTTAAGTAACCGGGTATTGTCACTAATCCATTCCTTTATTTCAAAATAACAAAATGTTCTGTGAGATGCTCCATTGTCTCCTTTTTTCCCTGAGTTATGTCAGCCTAATCGTATTTTATAATTTGCACCTTTAAACCCTGAATCACTTGGTTCATTTGCTGGATCTTTTAAATCTCCGCAATGGCTATCCTATGGTGAGGTGACCAGAACAGAGCACAGTATCAAGGAATTTCAAATGAAGAGTAGTCAGGAAAATGAAACCAGTCATGCACCTCATTCCTGCCATGTGGTGTTAAAGTCCTGCCCATGTTAATTTAGGCATCTCCTTTGCCCTTAGCTTGTCCTTTGTGGCCCCTTAGCAGAGGTGCACCAACATTTTGGGAAACATTTGGCTAAATGATCTAAAGGGTATTTTTCTATTTTTAACTGTTGTTATTCTATTATACTCTTTATTAGCAATATACCAAACAATCAAACTGATAAACCGATGTACAGAGCTGTTTTCATCCAGTAGAGGGCAGTGTTTCTCTCACACACAAGCCTGTCCATAGAGTACAGAAATCTCCAGTTTGCAGGTCCTTCTGTTTGTCACCAACAAGCTTTGATAATACGTCTCATCTATTCTCTAATGTTGTGCAAAAGATCATGAAACATTATTTTGTTCTATCATATTTCATTTACAATTCAAATAAAGAAAGATTGCTTTATGTATGTGCTTTCTTTGACACTATTACTCTGACATGTTATATTATAACAAAAGATGTGAAATGTAAAGATTTGGTATTACAGTGTAGTTCTTATTTTCGCAGATTTTTGTATGAGTTATCCCAGATCCCCAATTTTGCAGAACGTGCCCAATGTATAATCTTCCAATCTGTTTTCTCTGAGGGGATAACCTCAGTGCATCGTAAAGTGGATGTTATTACTCGTGCTTCTAAGGTAGGTTCTGCCAGTCTAATGAAAGCCAATCACAAATTAAGTTTATTTAAAATACTATGTATTTCTTTGCTTCCTAAAGCTAATTCAGGTATAATATAAATACTTCAGCTGTTTCATTAACTTTGCAGGCATTAAAAAGCACTATATGGTTCTTACATAGCAACGTTTCCTTCCAGCAGCAGATTTTAATTAACTTTCATAGTGCCAGTCATTTCATGTAAAATGATAGATATTTTCAGTAAAGAAATTGCAAATGTTGCAAAACCGAGCAGAGTCTTACAGTGACACAGAGATCAGCATCAAAGCCAACTTTAATAAATGAATTAAACTAGATCAGTAAAACTCTAGAAATAAATAAATAAATACCTTTTAGAAGAAAAAGAATGGGTTCCTAGATGTTACAGTAATAGAAATAGTTGATTATGATGATTAGAAGAAAACCTAAACAGTGAATGGCAACCACGGGCATTCATGCAAAAGGCCAGCGTAGTAAATTGTCTGGCCTACCATAAGAAGAGCCTCTTCTGAACTACCTGCCACCCCACTCCACCTGTGGATGGAAGAGCAAGGTGAAATCGACAGGATCTGTTTTTGGATTTTTTGCTCTGCTCACATGTTGGCGAAGTGGATTTGGAGGTGCTTTAGAGGGAAGAGAGTATAACGTGTGGGGAAAGTGAAGAGTCTGGAGATGGGGATAAAGTGAGAATTCAAGAGGAAAATGAGCTCAAAAAACCCCAGTTCAAATGAGGAAACAAGTCAAAAAAGAGGAAATGAACAGTGTAGAAGAGACTAGTGTAAATATGGTTGTACCTGTGACATCACTGAAATGTTGTGAACTGAAAACAAAGCTCCCGCCGCACTCAAATGTCTCAAAAATGTTTTGTATTTATTTGCAGCACTCATATCAGAAATGTTGCCAAACTGTATTCTGCCGTGGATTTAAAACAAAAACACTTAGGTACTCCAAAAAATGAGTTATCTTTCTTAAAACCTTAGGGAAGTTAAAAACAAACAAGATTTTACACAGTATTTCCAACTAGTAATAAAAACAATGATATTGTGTGGGGAAACACCCCCCCCCCCCAACCCTCCACCAC